TACTTTTTACCTTTTTGTAAGTGGAATTGCCTATATTTGGTACCATATTCTTGAAGAGCACAATTTCCCGATTCCAAAAATATATAGTTTCTCTATATTTGGTTGAACGGTCTCCAAAATATTTGGCTCTAAAAGTGCCACAAGCCTGCAGCTTTCACCTTTACAGGTAGAATGGTTCATAAAATATCTCGATGATAGTATCTTCACAATTTTTACAGCAAATATATAAGAGACTGCCCAACCAAACATAGGCAGACTATATATTTTTGTAACAGGAAAATTTTGTCAAAATATGGGGAAACACTCTGTACATAATTATTTTATATTGGTTGAGATTATTCAACTTTTCATTCAGTTGACATTTCAATATTTCTATTGTTAGTTCTTCTTTAGTCGCTTTGGTTTTCTTCTTCTCTCGCATAGCCTCAAGCTGGATTTTTTTATGTTCTAACTCCGTTTTTAGGATTTCTTTTTCAATGTCCCATTCCTCTTTTTGGTTTTTTTCTTCTACTAGCTTCATGCGAAGCTCAACTTCAAAGCATTTTTTCTGCTCCGACGCTAAATTGTTTTTTTTTTTTCTGATAATGCCTCGAAGGCGTGAAGAGAAGTTTGTTTATCAGCAGCCGAAATTGTCCTTTTCCTTTTCAAATTCCAGCCTGATTTTGCCTGCAAATAATTTTTCAAGTTGTAGGTAAGCAATTAGAAATAAATACTGGATAGTCACAATAATTCATTATTCATTCGTAAAAACCTTCTCTGTATAAATTACTAGGTCCACTCACCGAATAACTTGCATAGTCAGTTTTTAGAAATACCAGTAACAATGGTACTGGTACTTTACCCAATGAAATAGTAAGAATGTTTGGAACGGGCTTTGCGTCACTACATTGATTCCAGGATGAGATAGCGCTAGTAAGCGCACAAAATCTATTGGATCTCCCGGATTTCTCACTCTAACCCTGAGCGAGATAGCGCTAGTAAGGACAGAAAATCTCATGGATCTCTCCCGTTCTCTCACTCTAATGTTGGCCGCAAATATACGTAGGTATTGAGTAGCTAGACAAAGGGCCATTCCAAACCTTCTTACTACTTCATTGTACTTACCGCTGATTTGACTGATTCCCTTGCAGGATGCTCCTCTGGGTCTGGATTCTCTTCATCCATATTTTCGTTTTCGATCTGCATTATTGATTCATCAACATCCTAAAAAAAGTTACATTGGTCAATAGATTATTCAGGTAACTGCCACTGGTGAGAAAATTGTATAAGGTATATGAAATAGCTATTCAACTAACGAGTGCGGAAAAATATTTTCCGCAAGTGTTAGATACAATATTTTACCTACAGGCGTAAAAATGTAGAATTTTTCTTTTTTTTTTGACAGCTGTGCGGTAAAATTTTTTCCGCACTGACAGCCGTGCGGAAAAACTTACTTTTTCCGCACTGATATGCGTGCGGTAAAAGTTTTACCGCACCGTGCGGGAAAAGTCATTTTCCGCACACATATCAATGCGGAAAATCGATTTTTCCGCACGGCTGTAGGAAAAGTATTTTTCCTACAACTACCTCTGAAAATGGAGTTTTTCACTAGCTATTTACCTAACAATAGTGGGGAGAATGAAATTTCACGCACGAGTCTGCCGAGTGCAGAAAAACATTTTCCGCAAGGTTAGGTACAATAGTTTTTCTACAGGCATGTAGGAATAAGGATACCAACATAATTTGTAGTAATTTATTAGTATTTTTTTCTGACAGCCGTGCGGAAAAATTATTCCGCACTAGTGCGGGAAAACTAATTTTCCGCACTGGTATCGGTGCGAAAAATTTTTCCGGACGGCTGTTGAAAAAGGTTTCTCACACGCTGCTATAATTAGTTTGTTTATTTATTTATCAAAATTACATATTTGGTTGTTTTTTTTTCGCAGTTGTAGGAAAAGCATTGTAAAAAACTCGTTTGAAAACCTTTTCTCACACTCGCTCGACTTGTGGAACTCGCCTACGGCTCGGTCCAACAAACTGTCTCGCCGACCGAAAAAATCGTTTTCAAAACTTGTTGTTTAAATAACTATTTTCTTCGAGCGTGCGAAAAATCGATTTTCTCGCACGGATATCGGTGAGGAAAAATTTTTCGACACAGCTTTCAAAAAAAAAGATAACAAATTATGTAGGTAGACTTATTTCCGTACGTCTGTAGAAAAACTATTGTACCTAACACTTGCGAAAAATGTTTGTTGACAGACATTTTTGTTAAATAGCTAATTTGTTATTACAGAAACAGTAAGGAATAGTTAATATCTTACTCTGGTAGAGCTTTCTCCAATATCAGAAACGACATCTATTTCGACTATTTCCACTGTCCTCAATCGCTCCCCTGAAAAATAATAATTGCTTAGCAATAGCAAACCTCCAAAGGGGCTAGATTATCCAATTTCCGAGCCAATTTTTTAATATTTACCATCTGGATTATCTTCCAACAAGGCGCGAATCCGGGTTTTGATTTATTTTCATTTTTTTTTCGAAGGGGTCGTTAGGGCATCGGAAACGCCTTCTGATGGTAGCCCATCAATACTCACTTGAAGCACCTGATATAAAGCTTCCTCATACCATAAGAGTGGTCTTCCTGTGGTGGTCCTCCGCCGGTTTTCGTCAACTGCTTTTTGTTGTTTTGAATTTTCTTTTTTAAGTTTCTCTTGATGTTATCAAATTTTAATTTAAGAGATGTTAAGTCCCTGGCCTGATCGGTATTCTGTGCAATAAAATTTTCATGCACCTTTTTCCATTTTGTTTGTTTCTCTCTTAAAGATACCCCATCAGTCTGTTTGTTCTCGATTACATTGATGTGAGGGAGTAAACAATTCATAAACAGGTTTATTTCTGCCTTGGACCAATTAACACCCCGTTTTTTTTTGTCTTCGTTATCCATTTTACACAAATTTAACTTTTTAACACAGGAAAAACGAAAAGTTGAGCTTGTGGTTGAGCTTTTACGTAGAATAACGCGGAATAACGGTAGAATTGAAGTTTTTAAATTCAAATTTTAATTTCGCATAAAATCATAGATGGCGCCTGGCTCCATAATGTCTTTGAGCCAAAATTTACTTGATAAAAAAAGAAGAAGAAGAAAATATGAGTTGATTAACTAACGACCCTGGCAAACTTAGCGAAAGTACCCAAATAACTTTAATCAGCATTTTTAACATTGATCAATATTTAACAGCCTGTTCACTGATCAAATATTTGACAGAGGGTAAAAGTACCGGCCCTAAATGGTCCTTGTAACAATACAGCGCCAAAGCATAATTTGATGCGTCTGTAGTCAATAAAAATGGTTAATTGAAATTAGGGTGTTGTGAAATAGGATGATTGATTAAAATTTTTTTACAAGTTTCAAAACTTTTTAGAAATTCAGAATCGTGAATTACTTTTTTATTCTTTTTCAAACAAATTGTCATTGGTTTTGTTATTTTAGCGAAGTTTTTTATGAACTGTCGATAATATCCTATTAATCCTAGAAATGGTCTCATTTCTTTTGCTGTTTTTGGGATTGGAAATTGTTTTATTGCTTCGATTTTCTTTGGGTTTAGTTTAATACCATTTGGGGTTATTACATGTCACAAGAATTCTACTGATTTCTTTAAAAATTCTGATTTGTGTAATTGGATTTTTAGATTAAATTGTTCTAATCTTTCAAATATCTTTTGGAGATTTGCAATATGTTCTTGAAGAGAAGTGGCAAATATAATGATATCATCCATGTAAACATATTTTATTTTGTAAACCTATTAGTACATTGTCCATCACTCTTTGGAATGTTGCTGGGACATTTTTTAATCCAAAGGGCATACGGTTGAATTCATAATGTCCATTTTCTACATTAAAAGCTGTTTTACTTATTGAGTTTGGATGCATTTCAACTTGGTGGAATCCAGAAGCTAAGTCTAGAGTAGTAAAATAATTACTTCTTCCAAGTCTATCGAGAATGTCTGTTATATTTGGTAATAGGTATCGATCGTCTATCGTTTTTTCATTGATTTTTCTATAATCTACGACCATTCGCCATTTTTTTATGCCTGAATCTTTTTAGGTACAATCCAGACAGGGGATGACCACGGACTACATCGCACCCTTGCTACAACAGTGACACAACTCAAAAAACCTACTTTTATACAAAACGCAAAAAACTGTTCTACAAACAACACATTGTTTTACCTTAATTTTAGGCTGGAAACTAAAATTATTTGTTATAAGAAGACAGATTAGGTTCGTATTTTTGGTCAACCATCTTTTTTAACACCTATCAACCAACATATTGAGCTGTGACATTTTTGAGAGTCTTACTTGAGAATAAATATCAAAATTATTTTGAATTATAACATTTTTGATTTTTCAATCAGGAAATATGACACTTTTGATTTTTTATATTTTTTTCATAATGTCAAGCTTTTTGAGAAATGACGTTTTTATTTATTTTTTGACTGGGAATAGTATATTAAAATACAAGTTGCAGAAGGCCATAATATATATTCCCGCACGAATTCGAAATTTGACCACGAGCGACGAAGGAGCGAGTGGACGAACGAATGAGTGCGAGAATAGCCTTCTGCAACGTGTGTTTTATACTATTTCCTCGATTTTGGATTTTATTTTTCATTCTTAAATTTTTTTTTGTGAATGCTGTTAGTTGGGGATTTTTTATTTTCAAAATATGTCAGTTGGTGACACTTACTTACCAACCAACTGACAGGTGGATTCTATCATTTTAGAAGGTTTGACAATTTTGATGGTATACTTTGAAAACTAAATGTCACTAAAAATCGTTGAAGAATGAGTTTCATTCTTCAACGATTTTGCGTGACATTCTCACATCAAAATCGAGAAAAATAAAAACCAACTGCTAATAAAAAAATATTCATGTTAACTCAAATTGAATGCACACAACAAAAAATTCACTTCTGCAGAAAAAATCGTTAAAAAAAATGAACATTTTTATCAATGAATTATTAGATTTCTAAAACATTTTCAAAATACGTGTTATAGTGAAATTTAGGAATTATATTCTTTTCGGCAAGTTCTTTAAGATCTCTTTTTTTATTGTCACTTAGTGGAATTCTGTTAGCATAGGCTTCGACTAAACGCACTTTGCGTTCGGAGTTTTCTTTGCTTCTGGTATTTTTTCCTCTAGAAATGTTAACCATTTTAAATGTTGCATCCTCATAAGAGTTTTTGTAAAAAAGGCTTTTTGGGCTTTGCTTTTCCACTCTGAGCATTTTTATATCGAGCAATTTCACCTTTTCGTTTTCGGTATATATCGAAAAGTTGCTCCCGTATTCTTCTTGCAAAATTTACAAATCGTAGAAGTCTTCATAAGTCATGTCGTGGACGCGATATGGAGGGCCAACTTTTTTTGCTGTTCTAATTAGAGTTGCATATTGCTCGGGAACGTATATAGGATTAGATTTAAGATGCCTTTTCACTTGTTTTTCGATAACGCTATGAACATTGTCTCCTTCGTTCTGAGAATGACCATGAATCAAAAATTTATGAACGATACTGCGAATACGAACTATCGACACAGCGTTTAGATATGCAGCAACTAAATATTTATTTTTTTTTGCTGGCCGGAGCAGTCTTCTGAATATAGTATTACATCCAAATTATCATTTTCGGCGTTTTCGCTTAATTCTTTCAAATAATATAAAACGCAACTTTCAATTTCTATGGCACCATGTTTGCCTTCCGTCTAATTCCAAAATAACAGTCTACATTTTTCAAATTTAAATCACTTATTGTGAAATTGTAACAATTTAGCTTGTTTTTGTAATAAAAAGATGAAACCAGTCCTCGAGGCGCCGCCGGCGTTACTGCCTGAAGATCAGACACAGCGACATGTGCACCATCTTGATTCAATTTATCAGCATCCTCCTCTTTCCTTGACAATACCTTTTCTTTGAGGTGAAGATCGTAGGACTCTTGAAGCTTCAGTTTGCCTTACTCATCTGAATTTTTGTAAGATTCGCATAGATCGCATTGATCTTATTTAGGCGAGTGAAATCCTATGTTAAATTCTCCATTAAAAATTCGATTGAACATCACAGAATTGGCATAGCCCAGCTGTTGAGATTGCCTTTCTTCTTTATAGTCACGGTAAAGATCTGCTAGACTTTTGCCACTCTCAATATATTCCCGTTTAGTTTGAGCTCGCAGGTAATGTAACTCAACCCGTGGTATTTTATCTATGAAAGCTCTCACGCTTTCTTTGATGCTAGGGTCCACAGTTGGGTGTTTTCCGTGTTCTCCCCTTTTGTCGCTTTCTAAAAATCCATTCTCGGTTTTTTTTTTCAAAGCAGTGCGGATTGGCCTGTCATTTAAGTCCAGTGTGGCTTTAGCCGTAGACGGCTATCGTTAATGTTAAAATAAAAAGCGCAATTCATGCTTCTATAATCTTGAGTAGTGGAATAGCGATACTTCGGCTTAATATATTCAGTATGCGCTACAATAAACTCTCTCTGTCTTTGAATGTCGCTGAGCTGTCAATTGCTCGAAAAAATAATCTTTCTTGCCTCTTCATCTATTTTCTTGTTGCACTGTAACCTACACTTATCTCCACAAGGAGGACGGACTTTTTTTTCACAAAACTTCTTTTTGTTCTTTGAAGCCGTTGTATAGGCCTTTTCAGAGTTTCTTAAATATTTGGCTTTTTTAAAACTCCAAGCTTCGGGGTTGGCTTTTCTTTTCTTGCCTTTCTCCTTATTTTCTTCCTGATTTGAATCATCTTCTTTCATCATTGTTTCGGGATTTCCTTCTCTGTCCGTATCGCTTTCTGAAGTCGAATTATTGTAATGTGGATCAGCATCGGAATCATCCACATCACTTTCGCCACTATGTATTGGAGATATAGTATACTTGTTCCCTTCTAGTCTCTGAAAACGTAGAACCATAGGACGGTTCGAGCTACAGGATGCTTTATAAGTGTAGACTTCTTGGTCTTCCCACAAGCTGGCTGGGGAAAGATTGGGGCGCCCCAAACTAGAGGATGCTTCGTTAGTACAAGCATTCACATTTTTAACTAAGTTAGCTGGTAGAACATTAGGAAAGTCCGAACTGCAGGATGCTTTATAGGTGTAGGCTTCTTGGTCTTCCAAAGGGTTACCTGAAGAAAGATTAGGACTACCCAAATTAAAGGATGCTTTATTAGTACAAGTTATCCTCATCTTTGGCTAAGTTAACTGGTAGAATATTAGGACGGTCCGCACTACAGGATGTTTGATAGGTGTAGGCTTCTTGTTCTTCCAATAAATTAGCTGGGGAAAGATTAGGGCGACCCAAACTAGAGGATGCTTTATTGTTACAAGCACTATCATATTCAACTAACTTAGCTTGTAGAAGATTAGGAGAATCCAAATTAGTACAAACTTCTTGATCTTTAACAAAATTAGACGGTGAAGGATTTGGACGACCCAGACTAGAATATAATATTCTTCCTTCCTTATCATCATCTAAATTAACTGGTGGCAGATTATCTTGTAGAATATTTTCTTTATTTTCCGTTTCTATAGTTTCCTGAATTGCATCATAGTTGCTATAATCTTGTGTCTCCTTGAATTTCAGGGCTGCCAGTTTTAGAAGCCTTTTCGTTCGACTTGATCTTGAATTCATGGTAGAGTTTCTGCAAGAAGTAAAAAATAATTCTTCAATAGGGTTATTGAAACACTTGGTAATTCTCCAAGGTCTCACCCATCATAACATTTTTGATTTTACAGATAAAAGCCTAGTACTCATAACCGCGAAATTCACTCTTTTTTGACATTGCTTCGACAATTTGACGTTTGATTCACGCATAAAACGTCAAATTGTTGAAGCAATGTCAAAAAAGAACGAATTTCGCTGTTGTGAGTACTAGACTAAAGTATGTTTTTTTTTTTAAAGATAATTCCCCAAGTCAAAAATTTAGTAACTATGTTGGCAACACAAGCCTTTTCTACATAAAAAATTTGAAAGCATTGACAATTTTACATTGAATTGCCAACATAATGTCATTTTGACTTTTATCTTGAAAAAAAAAACAGACTCTAAATATTTGAAATTTGGTGTGCGACGACAGGTGTTATCTACCGCCTCCATAAAGATGAAATGAACGCGCTCTTAATCAGAACAAACAAATTTCAGAAAACAAATTAGAGATAATTTTTGAAGGTTTTTCGGTGTAAAATGTCTTGATATCTGCTTTTTTATATTATATTTTATTCGCTTTATTTAATACAATACAATACAATACAATACAATACAATACAATACAATACAATACAATACAATACAATACAATACAATACAATACAATACAATACAATACAATACAATACAATACAATACAATACAATACAATACAATACAAAATGTCTTTATTGTGGATAATAGATATTTATTTTATTAGAAGTATAAGTAATACTTAAAGTCTGTTTTTTTTTTAAAGATAAAAGTCAAAATGACATTATGTTGGCAATACAATGTGAAATTGTTAATGCTTTCAAATTTTTTGTGTAGAAAAGGCTTGTGTTGCCAACATAGTTACTAAATTTTTGACTTGGGGAATTATCTTAAAAAAAAAAACACACTTTATGTGACGCGCATGGAAGTTTGAACCAAATCCATGCAAGTCACATGAAGAATACTTATACTCCGAATGAAATACAATATTTTATTTTCAAACAATCTTTATTCCAAATAGTGCAGAATTTTTAATTTAAATAATGACATTCATATTTAGAAGGATCACTTTTATAAGCACCTATACCTGTATGTACAGGTGAACTACCTTAAATCACTATGGAAAAACATGTGTAACGGCGTATAAGTGTTAAGGCGGAAACCCATTAGCAAGACGCCACGCGATGCTATAACACGCCACGTCATGTGACGAAAATGTATGCGTATATTCTTCCATTTATTTACATGTGCCGCGTACACACTTGCCACACGCCATACTACGTCATGGCACGCCATGCCATCCGACATGTGACCATTTCAAATTATCAGATGCTGCCCACGAGAGTTGGTATGTGTAGATGTTTCCCGGCCGCTTCTCTAGCCCCGCCGCAATCTGTTTCTGTATTTATCCAATATTTTGTCGTGTCGCAAATAGTACAGAACCATATTTTTCTCGAAAAATCAGAGCCGCAGCAGCATATTCTTCTAGAAACTCTAAGTCGCTAAACGAACTGCTTCTATACTCCTAATGTACTCAAAACTTCCGACAATTTTTCTAAATAAAATGTATAGAATAAAATGAGCGTGTCATCACGTGGCATGTTACAAATTTACATACAAACTGTCCCATTATAATCCGCTGTATGTACAGGTGAACTACCTTAAATCACTATGGAAAAACATGTGTAACGGCGTATGTGTTATACTCCGGCGGAGTATAACACTTATACGCCGCTCAAGCTGAAAGTCATTGAAGTGACGCTTATACCTTGTCAAAATGATCACAAAAATTACTGTTATATGACGTTTGAAAATAAAAATGATTACACAAAAAGTTTTTGGTAAATGATGGCGACGTTCAAATGAATGCTCTTCCACGCAACCATCATAATTAGAAACTGTCTTATATAATATAATATTTATAGGTAAAGGTAGTAATAGAGATACCAATAATAAGCTATAATAATAGCCTACATCTAAAAGAAATTAAGAAAATAGCCAAAAGCCTACCCAATCACACACACAATCATACCCGTTGCGACAGCACATGGCTCTTTAGTTTTCCCCTGAAAGAAAGAACACTGGGAGAGTCTTTGACATCATAAGGGATTCTATTAGGGTGGGCCAGCGAAAACTAAACAAGGTCGATATCTCGTATTGATCGTTCATTGAAAAAAATCGCTCGGACCCGTCGATTTTTATTCGGAGGGGGAAATCTTTTGCACATATTTTCAATGTTGTCGCTTCAACCCGCTCGCGGGGGTAAGCGCCAACCCCTAAATCTTAAATGGCAGTAGGGGTAAATCTCCAGGCCCGGACAACGTCCCTAACGAACTGCTGAAGTGCGGAGGAGAAGCTCTGGCGGGACAGCTGGCAGAACTATTCAACAAAATATTGAAGGACGGAAATACACCAGCGAGATGGAGACACAGCATCACAATCCCAATATTCAAAAAGGGGAAAACCTCAGATCCGGCGAACTACCGAGGAATATCGCTTCTAGACACGACCATGAAATTGTTCACCCTTATGCTGCAGCAACGCATTCTCAGTTACACCACAATAAGCGAGCAGCAGCAGGGTTTTCGGAAAAACCGTTCGACGATTGACGCAGTGTTCGTTGTCAGGTAGGTGGTAGAGAAAGCAATAGAGTATAACAAACCAGCATACCTGTGCTTTATAGATTTGACGAAAGCGTTCAACAGGATAAGACTGGAGGACGTTAACAACGAGCTGGACCGCAGGAGAATACACCCAAGCATCACGGAGACGGTCAGAAAGCTCAACACAAACAACACCACAATAATACGAACAAAATTAACAACAACAGAAAAAATAGAACAAAACACAGGGATACGACAGGGAGACAGTCTCAGTCCACTCCTTTTCAACATCATAATGGATAGAATAATAGAGCAAGTGTGCAAGATAGACGCAACGCTATTCGCGGACACGGAAGACGGATTGCAATGGCTCTTACAGGCATTTAAGAAAGAGGCCGAAAAAGTTAACATGGAAATATCTACCACAAAAACAAAAAGCATGGTGATCGCCAGGGAATCACGCAGATGCAAACTAGAACTAAACAACAAAATAATAGACCAGGTTTTTGAATTCAACTATCTGGGAATAACAATATCACCATACGGTGAACTCAAGAATGGCGTACGAAACCAGGTAAACAAGGCGGCAAGAATAGCAGGAGCCTTACGAACAACCATATGGAAAAATACATGCATATCAACCCCGACCAAAGATAGAATATATAAAGCATGTGTCAGGTCCGTAATGACATACACGGCAGAAACACGAGCTGACACAGCGGAAACAAAAAGGATGGCACGAACCAATGAAATGAGAGTACTAAGAATTATCACAGGGATCACACTTTGGGATCAAAGAAGGAATAACGAAATCAGGGAAGAGTGCAAGACAGAGGACGTGGTTAGATGGACACGCGCTAGGAGACGCTTCTGGAACGAGCACATATCCAGGATGGAAAACCACAGACTCGCAAAAATCGCCAGAAATGGAAAACCAGCATCCAGCAGACCACCAGGACGGCCTCCCAAGAGGTGGAAGGACAGCTGATCGTCGGCATCCCGGGAGGGACAAATAAATGAATAAAACAAGCCTTAACCCGACATTACACGCGTCAAAAAACTTACGTCATTACACGCGTTCGGTCAAGTCGACCGACTGCCCAAAAGTTTACATGAATTATTAGCTTTTTTCGCGGAGGCGATCCCAAACGTATCTTGAACGCTAAGGCATGACCTACGCAGGTTTACTAATCAATAGAGACATGAAACTCTCAAATATTACCTGCGTAAGTAATGCCTTAGCGTTCAGGATACGTTTGGGATAGTTTCCGCGAAAAAAGTGTACAAGCACTATAATTCCTAGAATTCATAATCATTACAAAGGGAATTATATTATGCAGTACAGTTACCGTATTATCGATGGCCAAAAGTACCCCCAATATCAGAAATTGTCAATTTTGAACACACATACTTTGGATACTCAGGTTCACGCGCCTAGTCAAAAGCACCGACTATGAAAACAACGAACTATACTTCAACCAAAGACCAAAATATTTTTGGGACAATGGGTAGTGGAAAACCTGCGTCAAGCATTCCTGGATGGACAAAACTGCCACCCTTGTACCAGTGGCGTAATTACTGATTTTATCAATGGTCAGCCTTTTTGAGCGACACGCGTGTACTCCCGGGTTAAGCCTTCCGCGAAGAAGAAGAAGAAGAACAAGAAGATTTTTTTCAAGAAGTGGAACGAACTGGACTAAACTTTTTTCGAAAATTCAATCTCAGGACTCTATAGCACTCTGAAGAACATCCGCTCCAAACTGCGCCAATTATATTTTTCGTTCAGTAAAAACTAAGAAGTTGCAACAAAAAATACTAGATTCTAAAATGCTGTGGCGGATGCCGAGAACAAAAGAATCTTTGATTTTAAATTGCTATAGTCTAAAGTCTAATGCTACAATACAAATGAATGAATTGAGAAGCTCTGCGCGCCGTATTTATATCAAAATATCGCTGACGGTGCAATCATGTGGGCGAAACCTTGATATGATGGTACTTTTCCGGTGCATCAGTACCGCTTACTCAGCATTTTTATAATATTGTGAGCTTTTACAGAGGCGTACGCTTATATTTAGCATTGAAAAGGAGAACTATGTATATAATAACAACATAGGGATTTATGATATAACTGGTACTTAAATCAGGCTTGGTATACATAAAATAATAGACATTGAACAGCCGATTAGATTACGGCAAGGGCTATCATATTTTTATTCTGAATTTAAACCAATCAACTTCAGTTTACTAGGAAGCGGAGTGCTGAGATAGCTGACGGCACAACAGTCATGCATAATAAATTTATGTAAAATAGTTTTTATGTAAGTACAAACCTATGCGAAAACTGATCAC